TCCCGCCCCCTTGACCTGTCCGTCCTCCCTGGACTGACCTATCCCCTCCCTAACTCCCCACCTACACTCACCTTTACTGGCTCCATCCCCGCCTCTTCGACCTGTTTGTTTCCTCTCCACCTATCCTCTCCTCTATCCCTCTTCTATCCGCCTCCCACTCTCTCCCTATTTATTTCAAAACCCCCTTCCCCTCCCCCTTTTCTGATGAAGGGTCTAGGCCCGAAACGTCAGCCTTTCTGCTCCTATGATGCTGCTTGGCCTGCTGTGTTCATCCAGCCCTGCACCTTGTTGTCTCGGATTCTCCAGCATCTGCAGTTCCTACCATCTCTGATACAATTTCTTCTCTCCATTCAGCCCTGCTTTAAAGAAAAAAAAACACAGAATGCCAGAGAAACTCAGCAAGTCTGACACCACTTGTGGAGACAGAAAGAGAGAGAGAAAAACAGAGTTCACTTCTGAGGAACAATCATACTGGACTCCAAACATTAACTGTTTCTCTCTCCACTGATGGTGCCTGACCTGTTGAGTTTCTCTGCGCTTGTTTCAGGTTTCCAGCATCCAGAGTAGTTTCCCTCAGTCCAAGCTCTGAAGACAGGCTGTTACAATAAGGCAGGAATGTGGTTGCCACGTCTCTTGGTGCAGAGAGGTGGATTTGGGTGTTAGAGTTAGTTATTCCCGGAAGGTTAAGTGGAAAAGTGATTGCAGGAGCAGCACCAGGGCTGTTTGTTGGGGGGAAAAAAAAAGAGACACCTGAGCACCACAACAGCTCAGTGGAAGCACAGAGCTCAGTCCTTGGACAAATTCTGGCATTTATTCCGAGCCCAGCACTGACAGAAGGAACGCCTTGTGTTATTTTTTTTGTGTGTGTGATCAGTTGGGACCCCTGTTTGCTGGAAACGATCTAATTTCACAATTTCAGAAACAGTGGCTTTCGCTCGCTTCTGCTCAACGCGCGGACCTGGCTTTCGCTTTGGTAATGTTTAACAGGAGAAGTTATACTTTGTTCTGTGTCTGGGTGTCTCACCGTAAAACATAGCCCCGCCAGTCTCATGCAGAAAGCGCACCCTCCGGTGTTTAAAAAGCCAAATTGTCAACAGGGTGAGGATCAGCAAGAAGTTGAAGATCAGCAATTGCACCGACTCTTGCCGGTGACTGTCTGCAGCGTTCCGACCCGGTTTGTTCTTCGGCCCGGCCGGGCTGGACATGTTTGCAGAGGGACACACCGAGGACTCCGCTCCGTTACATCCACACTCCGCAGCTGTCAGGATGGTGTCCCCTGCGCCGCGCTGCCCCCTGGGACTTGTAGTTCCCGACTCCGCCTCCCCCCGGCCAGCCGCGCGCCCGCTGGACTACATCCCCCACAGCGCCCCGCGCGCGCTCCTCGCTGGGAGCCCTCTCCAGCTGAGCTCACAGCTGAAGGCAGGAACCAATTCCCTGTTAAAGTTACCCCCCACCCCCTTCCTTCTTCTGTGTTGTACTCCGGGCTGAAACACCTTGGGCAGGTTTGACGCGTATATCCTGAAGGTTAATGGGGTGCACACGCTGAGAAATGCTGTTTCACTCTTTTAAGATATCTCACAGGTTCTACTCCCTACCCATTGATTTCACCTCTCTCCCTGCCAACTGTTTAACCAGCCCCGTTTGCAAACTATGGTAGTGCCCTCACCTTTAAAACAAGAGACCCAGGCGCAAATTTCACTTGCTCCTGAATAACATCCCTCAACAGGTACTATCTAGAGTATACAATCACTCCCCCTTGTGACACAACACTCGTTCTGAAACCTCAAAGCACAGGATGCCAAGAGTAACGAGTCACCATCTTAACCCCATCCTCTACGGTTTCTCGTTGCAGGAAAGTCATTTCCTCTGTTGTTCAATCTTTTCTCATTAATCTGCACAGCACACACTTCCCTGATTAGCTCCTGTGTTAACATTTACCCCACAGTTTGAATTGACTTGTTATCTCACCCTTCCTTCAAATACTCATCCTGCAACTCCACATGAATGACCACCTCATTTCCAACTTTCCTTTACAAAGTGCCGGAACATGCTACGACTATTGTGACAATATGTGCCTTTAAGAGGGAGTTGCTTAGTCCTGGTTCTCTTGAAGATGGCTTGTTGTAAATCTGGTGCTGAGATATCTGCTCCACTGAAAGTACAGTAAATAGCTTTGGCTTTTTAAAACTATATATACAGAAGAAGCATGAGTTGGTGGAGTCAGGCTCACGCAGACACAGGGTTTTGGTTCTTTGCTTTCAGTTATTGAAGTTGGGGTTTTGGAGTTGAAGCTGATAGATACAGCTCTCTCTTTCTCTCTGCTGCTAGATTCTATCAGTGTTCCTTCTCCTGGACTGGAGGAGATCACAAGGAGGGGAAAATGTTTTGCTGAATTTGCCTTTACCAAGGGTTTGTTTATGGGATGTTGCTATATTGGAACAATTGATGAGTAGTAGTTAAATAACATATTGTTTTGTTAAGTGACATAACACAGTGTGGAGCTGGAGGAACATAGCAGGCCAGGCAGCATCAGAGGAACAGGAAAGCTGACGTTTCAG